TTCCTTGCAGTGCACTGCCCTGTATTTCTTTCTCCAGCACAGCAGTAATTTCTGATGCTTAGGTTCACTGTGGTTAACTTAAAAAAAAGGAAGGAAGGAAGGAAGGAAGGAAGGAAGGAAGGAAGGAAGGAAGAAAGGAAGGCGAAGCCACGCCAAACCAAACCAAACCCAAAACCACAACACAAGAAACACAACCCCTAGGGTCTCACGAAAGCATTTAACTTATCCCAAAGTCTATGAAGGCATGACTTCCAGAATTATCTGCAGCTTCCACACATTATTTCAAAGAGAACAGCTAAACAAATTGGCTCTCACATAAATACAAATAAATGTATTAAAAGCTGGCTATCTAACCGTATACAGAGAGAAATCGTAATTGGTAGTCCGTCTAGTTGGGGAGAGGTTTCCAGTAGGGTCCCACAAGGATCGATATTGGGTCCCATTTTGTTTAATATCTTTATAAAAAATCTAGAAGACAAAGTAGAGAATGTACTAATAAGTTAACTGGTGCCACTATAGTAGAACTGATGCTTAAACTAAATTTGATATAGATAAACTCTACTGGTATTTAGAAAGCATCAGATTTGGAATGGTAGTGAATTGCTATGTTACAAATCTATTCTTTACCAAAAATACAACAAAATGAACAAACAAAAAACCAAACACAAATTCCAAGTAGCAGAAATAGATTTAAAATATCACAAAGGTTTTACATTAAACAGGTAAAAAGGCATCCTGAGCACTGGCAACACTTAGAGTCACAACAACCATGACTGTACAACAAAGAACACTTTCAAACTGAGATCCCTGGCGAAGTTGCACTTGGGAAACTGCTAGTCACTGGTTTCTCAACACAATGAAAATATTGGAAGTACTTCAGATTTGCAATAACCAAAGCAATGAAAACCTAAGTAGAGCTAGATGTTCACATACGCGTGCGTTTTGTAATTAGCAGAAAAATAAACAAGGAAACAAAATCAAGTTGAAGGGAAATAAGAGTTTAAAACTTGAAGGCATGAGCACAAACAATAAATGTAATCAAACCAAAGCAAATGTACTAGGAAACTAATGCATACACATACACAAATAAAAGAATATAATGGATAGCAGGAAGAACACTACTGCCATCACAGCAGAGATGATGTCTGCTTAACTATTCCAGGGGACACTTTGGGGCATCATTCAGTAGTCTTAGTGGACAACTCACTTTTAAAATCTTAGCATTTGCCATTTCCCATATAGTTGCTGGTTCCAACCCCAGATTCTTTGTTTCCAACCCTACTCCCAGATAATGGCCTTGGAAAAGCGGCTGAGGATGGCCAAGTGTTTGGACCATTGCCTATCTTGTAGAAGACCCAGGTGAGTCTCCTGCCTCCTTGGTTTCATCCAACTCTGGCCACTGTGGCCATGTGGCTAGTGAGCGAGCTGAAAGATCTCTCTCTCTGTATAACCTGTAGAATTCCTTCAAAGTAATAAAATCTCTTTTAAAAATAAAAAAACCCTAATTTTAGTGTTTTAAAACTATACTTGTCACATGAAGACAACTCTAAAATGACATTTTTTCATGGCCTTTCATGTGCATAAAGGTGGGACATTTTGCAGGTAAAATCAACTGATCTGAACACTCTATAAGGACTAGCATGCAATCAGTATCACCCTTTCACTTTACTTTTTGTTTAATTTTTTTTGCTAACACAGTGAGATATCCACTGGATAAAGACAAGGAAATTCCAGAAAGTTGTTGCCTTTGCTCCCCAATCTTAACAACTGCAATTTCTTTAATAGTTCTTTTGCCAATTAAATAACAGGACAAAATTGTGTAAGGAGCTGTAAACTCATCAAACAAAAACGTAAAACGAATTGGCACACAAGAAGATTTTTAAAATGTGGAAGTTATTGTTGAAGCCTTGCTAGGTGTTCCATTTTCATCCCTCCCTGAACTAAAGTCAAGCTTAAAAATCACATTAAATAATCTGACATAATGCTTCCATCTCTAGGAAAGAAACACATGAAGGTGAAAAATTCTAACTCCTCTTCTAGCAACTGATTTTTCCAGGGCCTCCAACAATACTTAGCTGATTATCCGTGCTCCATCTTTGAAAGAAAAATAGCTTCACAATTACAGTTGGAAAGGGACACTTTTCATAGGAAATGCTAGCATTACTCATGATGCTGACACAAAAGAAATCACCGCTCAATCAAAACCCAGAGTGGGTTTTGAAATGCTGGGTTTTAAAGTAAACCATGGGGTTTGGCATGTCACATGATCACCTCATTGTTTTAATCTAATCAATGTGCCTATAGGTATTCTATCCTGAGAAAGGAGTGATGAAATTTGAAGTAGCTGGCTTGCCCTAGATTTTAAGAAAATATCCACTAAAACAGTATTTCCTTGATTTGACTTTAAAACTTTTGATGTAAAAACATTCCTGTCTTAAAGATGAGTTAATACTCATGCAGACCTGTGTACAACACACTAGCAAGCATTACCAATCCATCTGTGAAGCATTCATTTTAGTTAAAAGTTAATAATGTCTGTGATACTTAACAGCTATACTACGTGCTCATTTAAGGTAGAGTTGCCATTACTATTCAGTATGTATTGAGGACTGTGTTATCCTCTTCACATATTGTGATAATCTCCACAGTGACTTTACATGACCCCCACATTACAGATGAAGAAATTGACAGCCCAAGAGGTTTATTTAGCCTGTTACATTGTCACAAAAGGACACAGGAAATACTAAGCCTTACTCATTCCAAAGTATTTGCTCAGAATCATTGTTATAGACCACATTACCCTACATTTTGACTCTTACGTATACCAATCAACCAAAACGGAGAACACACTTCTGTCAGTATTAAAAACACAAACATGCTTTTCTGGGTCTTGGATTCTCATGTTTGAACCCATGGAATTGGACTCGACAGGGTGAACAATTTCTTGCTACTGGGAAGCTACCTCGTGCACAGCAGACCCTTAAGTGACACTGTAGGTCTTAATACACTGGACACCAACTGCAGCCTCTTGTGTCCAATTCTGACAACGAAATTTATGTCCAGATGTCACCAAAATCCTTTGAGAGACAAAACTCCTTTTATTTTGAAAATTCCTTCACTAGAATATCTCTAATTATCTTTTCTGTCTTCTTCTATTCTATCACCCGAATTGCGGACTACTTCAGCTCAAAGAATAGGATTTCACCATAGGACACCTTCCCAATGAAACTTTCTCTCTCAGTATACTGAAATCAGATATATTTAAAGTTCTATCATTTCAGTTTTTATAAATCCTCTAAGATCCAGGTCTTACGTTTATCATTCAAGTGTAAACTGGTATGAGAAGATGAAGAAATCAGATGTTATTAAGCCTCGAATTAGGCATTTTTAAACTGCAACCCTCAAATGGTTTTACTTATTTATTCTTTCCTTTACTCAGGATACAGAACCAGAGATATCATAAAATTGGTTTATAAAAGCAATCTATAATTTGAAAGGTTGAGAGTCTCATGCTAGTAAGATTGTTATAAGTAAGATTCTGGGAACTAAGTAATAAAATTTATAGTAAGCTAGGCCCCATAGTATATTGGGCTTTCAAGGTCTTACTTAAAATTGATATGATTAAAAGTGTATTCTGAGAAATAAATGCCCCTGATTATGAAATAGTCCCAAATTAAGCATCAGAATGAAGGACAGTAGAAAACATCTGGAGTCAGAAGCTTCCACAGGGTTTTCTACAAATAAATCTCAACAGGAGAGATTATTTATGTGTTACCGTTAGAATTAAATTGAAGCACCAATAAAAATAACACATTTAATAATAATAAATTGAAGCACCAATAAAAAACTAATTATTGCTACAGTTAACAATCCCAGATAGCTGAAAATTATCTCTGCCTTCATAAACCCATCACTACCAATTATTTATTGGATCACACACTACACTTTATAAACTCTATTTTGGGCAGATTTTAAAGCTAGACTTTTTTATTATAGAAAATTAAAATGTAGACAATAGGATGTATCAATACATGTTCTGTTTAGCACGGAAAGTTCTGTAATAGGAAGCCAGCTGAAGTTATATTTGGGTATAAAGAGAAAACTCCATTGGGACTTCTGTCAAAAGCCTTCACTTGGTTACAAATCAGTATGACATGGTGGATTTTTGAAAACTACTGTTTTCAGAAATGCCTTATGCAGGCAAATCAATTTCTCTGAAAGAGACTCATGCTTTCAAATTTTTAAAATTTTCTCTGGGTCATTAGACTCGACACCCAACATTGCCAACCAGGGGCTGAGAAAGGAGATTACGATTGTTAAGCTGTATCTGATGTAAGGAAGATGGTAGCTTCACAAATTCATATGCTTAAGTGCTGAGTGACGTATACACATATAAATATAACATGTTGCTTAAGGAGAAAATCATTTCTAGTATCCTGCCATGTTTCTCCATCCTTCTGCTTACTTCACGGGTAAAGTTTCAGTTTCTTCTTATGAGTCTTTAACACATCTCTATTCTGGCTAATTTTTCCTTTACATCATTAGAATTCAAATCTTAGGCCCACAGTCTTCATCTAGTCAGTTAGAACTTAATAATGCAGTTTCTACTTCTTTATTAAACCTAAGGTTATCTTCCAGCAAGTAATATACTGACGAATGATATCAGGCTGCCTTTTCTCAGTTTAAATAAAGTGAGCACATTTAAATAAATATCAATTCAGCTGCAGCAGACATTCAACTGTCCTGTGAACACCATCTCAAAGGTGTTCCTCACGTGACTATGGTTGATGCAGGTCCACCATTTGTGGAAAGAGTATCTAAGTCTTGTGTTATGAGTCTTAGAATCAAATTGTGCCTCAACTACTTGAGGAGAACAATCTACATGAAATGGAGGAAATGATCCATTCCCTTTCCCTGTCTTTCCTCATTGTCAGACAGTCTTTACTCACAAACACTTCTATGAGTCTAAGAAGCAAGGGAGGTGTGTCCTCAGAACGTACCTTGTTGACATCCAGGCGCATCTTTTCGTTATTGGCATTAGCAGCCTTCTCAGCTGCTTTCTTTTGCCGTTGGGGTCCCCTCCCAAAGAAGATGTAATTGACCAAAGCATATTCCAGAAGAGCCATGAAAACAAAGACAAAGCACCCCATCAGGTACATGTCAATAGCCTTCACATAAGGGATCTTAGGGAGAGTTTCCCGAAGGTGAGTGTTGATTGTGGTCATTGTAAGGACAGTAGTGATTCCTAAAAAAATAATAACAATAACAATATGGAAGGATTATAATATGTCAAGGGATTTGAGTTGGTGAAGCATTTATTTTCCCTTTCTCTATCCTTGAGCAATGCAATCTGAATTTAGCACATAGCCTAAGTGATTGCTTTAATACCAAAATCTCTCCTCAATGATATTCCATATTCACACAAAACAAAAGCAGGGTTTTCCCCATGAGCTAAGAACTTAACTGCTGTTCTCTTCATCTCCTCTCCAACAACATATTTATTCATGCCCATGAACTCCACATTGGTCTCTGTGGCCTTCTCCTGACGTACTTGGCTCCACCTTCCTCAGGCCTTTGCAATAGTCTGGTCTAATGTCACCTCGAGAGCAAAGCGGCTCCTAAGCTGCTTGGTATCAATGCCAATCTCTGAGCGAGGTCTGTCCTGATCATTCTAAACCACAATCCCCAGTACAACCAAGCCCTCTTACTTGTTTATTTCCCTTGATAGTTTTACCCTGTTATATAATTTGCATGCATATTAAACTGATTGCTATCTTTTTCTGTTAGAATATAATTTCCACAAGGGGATCTGAGTATTTACAGGGTCCAGAAGCACTGGACAAATATTTATTGAGCGCATTTTCCAAAAATACGTATTGAATGAATAAATGAAATACTTTTTAAAGGACATAATTGAATTAAAAAATTCATAGTGAATTGGTTAACAATTCAGCATTTTCAAAGGAAGAGTAGGAACATAAAGTGATAAAGATTACATACAAGGTAATAAATTCACTTTTTGTAGTTAATAATAAAAAAAGGTTCTTGAAATGTAACTTACTCTACTCCTGTGGGGTTATAAGACTAAAAATATCTGGCATAAAAGAAGTAACACCAGGAATAATTTCCCAATATTCTTAATTTGTTGCCCTCTGCTCAATTACGCTACACCAAAAAATTTCTAAGATTTTACAATTCGGATTATGCATTTCCTATAACCTTGTCTCTGGCTGAGGAAAAAATATTCAAAGGGATCTCTTCTCAGATTAAAAAAAAGCACAGATAAAAATTGAATAGTTATGCAAGCAATATTACATGAAATATGTCTCAATAAAATATCAAACTGATGGGACTAATTTCATTACCAACAGCTTTATGGCTAAGTAATTTTGATGTGGAAGAGGTTTAATTTGTTTTTAATTGATTTACTGCTGAACCAGATCACGCAAAGTCTCATGGCTAAATTCTTGTCATCAATAAGGGTCCTTTCTCATCATCTGTCATGTGTTCCAGGGTACAGAGGGATGCATACATGTGTCAAGGACACATTCTTGCTCTCTCTCGCTCGCTCTCTCTCTCTCTCTGATACACACACACACACACTCCACATACATCTGGAAAATGCCTACCTACCTAATGCCACTCTTGCAGCTGAAGCATCGTAATTAATCCAGAAGGACACCCAGGAGAGGATGGTTATCAGGATGGAAGGCATGTATGTTTGTAGGATAAAGTAGCCAATGTTTCTCTTAAGTTTAAAGCTGAGGGAAAGTCTAGGATAGGACCCTGGAAAGACAATTTTAGAACATCATCATGACCAATCAATAGTTACATGACACTTTCCTTTAAAGTTCTACAATTTGTATACCCTTCCAGTATTGAATTTTAAATTCTGGTGTAGGATTCTTTTTGAAAACTGTTTAAAGGCCATCGCTTTCTAATGAGTGGAAGTTATACAAGGCAGAACTCATCTTGTACTCACCAGTGTTTCAAAGAGTCTCACATCTTCCCAGCTCAGCCGCATGTTCTGGATCAGATACACATTCTCTGCAAGTGTGAGCTCATAAAAACTTGGGACAGTTCCTTCGCTCATCTCTCAGTGGCTCCTATTTGAGTTCTAAGTTTTATCTTACACAGTAATAATGTTGTGTTTTTTTTTGTGACAATAGTTTTAAAAGAACAAACACCACAAAGAAGGCAACCTCTTCACAAGCCAAGGTGCATTTAAGTTAGTGATCAATAGCAAGGTTTTAAGGAATACAAGTATTGTAAGTTCACATAGATTTTCATATGCATGTATTATTTTTTCTTAATGATTTTATTACTTCCACTACAGTGATAATGAGATCTCTGATCTACCAGCCTCCTTCAAAAAATCAGTGCTTTACAAAACCACTGGTGGGAAATAAAAAAAACTTCTAATGGTGATCCCTTCACTGAAGTTATCTGGGGAATTGTCTTCACTGTCTTTAAGACCTGGTATACATCAGAGCACCTTCTTGGAATAGGGAAAGTTGACACTGATAACACAGTTAGGCAGAGGACTAAAAAGCTAGTTTTGCCTTGTCCTCTTGGACAAAGCCAAATGTTTTAATCTATAAGAAACAAACATGAAGGAATAATTTCCATAGAGAGAGGCACTCATACTTAGATAAATATTCTGCTATTTTTTCTTCTATCCATAATCAACTTAGCATGCTTACAGGCCATTCAGGTCTTGCTCGGCATGCTTTGTGAAGGTAGGACATTTCTGAGTTTTTGGTGGGAAAGTAACCCTAACCCTACAGTCACTGTATGCAGACAGTTCAAAAAGTTCATGGGAAATGGAACTGAAAAGCAAATTTATTTGGTAGGGATATTTTTTTAAAAACTCTGAGTAGTTGTTTTTTTTTTCCCCCAAAATTCATTTCCATGAACTTTTTGAAGTTTCTATACATTATCTGTTTGTGTGCCTGGGTTTCATATCAGTAAGAATAGCATGAAGAGTGATATTCCTGTGTCCTTACTATTTCTGTTACCCCTAAATAAGTACCTAGAAAGAATCATTCTCTTAGGCTCTTATACTTTTTTAATGTAAACATATACTGGTGAAATAATATTTCACATTCTAAAATCCCAGTACTAGCAGGGTAAAACCGTGATGGCATCAGGATAATTTCAATGTGCAGACAGGTCTTTTGCTGAAACAGGAGGTAACACTTGTAAGTAAATTACTTCTCTCTTAAAAAATGTAAAATCCTCCTACCTGAGTTTATAAAGAAAAAATCTGATTGTGTTCTGACTTGAAGATACTGCAACGTGGCCATTTCCAGTGCATTTTAAGAATTATGATCAACTTTGCATGATGAATAAAGTTGGTGAACAACCCCGACCCAGGTCTTCAATTCTCTGTCTTGTTTTATTCTGTATTTAAAAATGATACCCTACTTTGGCAAGTGAAAGACATTTCTGAGAAGTAACGCTATGGGTTCCAAATGAAGCAACTGACCTGGCAGGAAACTGAAAGCTTACAGAACACCTAGGCCATCTTCAGCCCCTGTCCTTAAGGGATACCTGTTGACTAAGTGAAACCTCATGCCAAAATGTAATAATGTTTTCTTTGACTTAACCAATCTTTTTGATACACACCTGTGGAAAATACAACTTTCTTGGTGATAAGTTTGTAATCTACGATAGAAAACTGTGGAAGTTCAATTTTTGTTACGCCTGTTACTGCGTTATCATCCCCACGCCAGTAAAATTCGATGTCATCAGTTGTATATCCATCTATAAAAGGAAACACACAAAAGGGATACACAAAACAAACAAGACAAATTAGAAAGAATGATGAGCAGAGGAACTCTATTCACGATAAGCTAGTAAGCAAAGATATTTAGTGTTAAGTACCATGATAATCATTTGACATCCAATACCAACTTTAATCCATGCTACATCTTATGAGGGAAGAATATAATTAGGACCACAGGAGGAAACAAAAAGAAATGAATAGCATGCATTCTCTTATAACTTGTAACTAGAACATAGTTAGTTTGGCTTTTGAATCTAGGCTCGTCTGGTTAAGAATCTCATTTTATTAAGCATTATCACATAACTCTGGATTATAACCTAAGATCAATTAGAATCACTTAAGTTATCAATTCAGTGCTGAATAGTCTCAAAATCCTCTCCTATTAAAAGTATTTGATCCGCCTTTCCAATGAAAAAATAATAAAAATAAATCTTTAAAAAAAATAAAAATAAAAAAAGTATTTGAATATAAATTATGTTATTTGTGTTTTAGTGCAGAAAAGGTATTATGAAAAAGTGATTACTTTTTTAATGTCCATACACAAAATGTCTAAGTTTGATTTTGTAGCATATGTAATTTCAAAAATAAAAACAGAAAAATCTCTCCAAACATTAATTCCAATACTTTTAAGGATATCAGTGTACAGTGTTATGTCAAGGATAGCACTTTGCGCTGAAAACCACCATGTTTTCTATGATAATTATGCTTTCTTCATCCACAGGGAAATGTTGAAATTACAACAAAGCTCACATATTATTCCAACTTAAGCAAACTCATAAATACAATGAATAAGCACAAGTTATTACAAAGATCTGGCTTAATTGAATTATAACACGTAAACATGACAATGTTATTTATGAAAAAAAGATGCCAGTCAATTCCCAAAAAAGCAGCTCTAAGAGAGATTATCCTTGACTTCCAAGACAATAACATGCAGAGGACCAATCAGAAATTCTCATTTATTGACTCATTGTACAACATGTGCTAGACCCTTCATAGAGAGAGATGAAGCAGCAAATAAGACAATATATTTCATAAATTCATGTAATGTGAAATTCATTAGAGAGTCTTACTCAACTGATCAGTGATGGGTTTGGAGATTTTTTTTTCTTTTCAAATAACCATCCTGGGTAGTCTATGATAGACAGCACATGAAAATAACACGGACCCTCTGTCTAATATTGAAGTTGCTAATGATGGTAATGAAAGAAACACTATTATATATTGAGTGCTGTTATTCATTTTACTAGAAACTCTATTAAGCACTCTGTCTTTATTATCTCATTTAATTTTCACAATAATTTTATTGGTGAGTATTAATATGCATCATCTAAAATACTGAACGCACACTGAAAATTAATTCTTCACTTCATAGTTGAGCAAACTAGATTGAGAAGGATTAAGTTACGTGTTAAAATTATATATCTGGAAAGCAACTGAGAAATTAACGAAATACCAACATGACTGACTACAACGATAGCATTTTACCGTGCACAGCCACCCCTCCCTACTAGAACATACAAAGGCCATCATAAAACTAAATGCTTTTACTCTGTTAGCTCTACCTTCAGACCAGAGAAGGTCTCCCCAAGAAGCCACTGAACTTATCTGGACAATAAGATGCTGGACTCTATGCTAGGTATATGCTTACAATGAAGGAATCTCATCCGAACTTGAACTGTGGCAATGCAGCAAGGTGGAGGAATCCACCATGGGGGGAGGGTTGTGGGAGGGGTGGGGGGAATCCCCAGTGCCTATAAAACTGTATCACATAATACAATGTTATTAACAATAAAATAAAACTAAATGCTTTTGTACAAATAGGGAAAGGTCATTTACAGAAGAGCACGGGAAATGTCAACTCTCACTATTTCCATAACGTACCAAGTCTCCCTATTGAGGAATATTTCTGGTCCGCTAACTCTCTCTCGTTCTTCCCTTCCTCAGTATTTATTTTCTCTTGTCTGATTCTACGTTATCACAGAAGTTATCTGTAGGCGAAACAATGGGAATACTCAATGGCATTTCAACAAAGTTGTATGGGAGATGGTTATTAGTGGTTCAACGAACATAAACATCACAAACTGCCAGCTATTTGACAACTTTTGATAGGCAATAGCTTGTAGGGAATAGGAACTCACTAAATATTATTGACATAATAACTATTTAATGCATAAGTATATTTGGGCTGATGTTTGTTTATATAGATGCTATTTAGATAGCTATTGCAAAGGTTTATATTGTGTTTGAAATTCTGTCTCTTGCTCAAAACATACTGGTTGGCAGTAGTTGACACTAAGTAAACATGTTCTGAATGAATGAATAAATGAATGAATGAACAAACATACAAAATATCCAGTAAGAGAGCCTTTGGAATTCCAACGTATTTCACTACAGTTGTATTCCCTCTAGGTATTCTCCTTTCTTCATTTGTCTCATCTAAAATTGGAATACTAGTAAGTGCTTTCAAGAGTTGTCATTCAAAAAATAAAAATCATTGTAATATACTCAGGAGAGTTTCTGACAAAACAATGATAAACTTTTAGCTCACAGGATTTAAAATAAGTTTTTGAATTTTTTTTAGGTGTGAATGAAAGACACAGCTAATACCATAGCATTTTGTTTCAGTTTCATGAACATACATACACAACTGCAAAATCAGTCAGCTGTTTAACCACACATACAGAGATTTCTTCAAAATGTCAGAAAATTGACAATAACACATGTAAAGGTCAATTTACTATCTATGGGTTTGACCCAGTGGTACAGCATATTTTATAAACTTCTTGGCTACTGTTAGTCCTAAAAAAAACCCAGTATTCTTCATTTCACTTTGGGTAAACAATGAATGGAATGTTGCAAATGGGAAGAAAATGTATGCCTTTCTATCACCAGTTTCTGAAGAAGCAAGATCAACAATCCATGTCACCCAGTTGTGGACAAGTTCAGAAATTCACTCTACTGTGTAGGATTAGCTTCATTCAGACCTAGTGTTCTGCTTTCCCTTACATCATCTATGGAGGAATAGTTAGCAATCTCTCCAACTGATTAAAAATTAAAAGAGAGGATATGCAAATATTTAAGACCTGACTTTTACAGCTATCATAATAATGAGTGAAAAATAATTAGATTTTTTTCAAAAGATATCAGAAGAAGGAACTGCATTAATGTATTGCAAATTAAGTTCCTCTTTTATATTTTATTCATGATATATTCTAAAAACTGAGCCATTAAATTATTTGTATTGCTATCAACAACCCACATAAAAATTCAGATGATTTCTGAATAAATCAAAATATAAAATCATCAAAGTTAACATGGACTATATAATGTTACGTCCTGACAAATACATATAATTAGAAATCTATATATGATATGCATGATAGATATAGTCACATTCTCATATTGGTAAAACATGTACTATATGAAAAATAAGGAGTACATATGTCATTTTAAAACATGCTTAACATGTTATCACAGTTGTTATCTTAGTATGTAGCATGATATTTTGTAGAACAGTTTTTGTTTCTCAACTATTGGTCAAAATATCTATCTTATTACCTAATAAATACACATTTTACTTTAGAATGATTTTACTATGGAACAATATGTGGAAAATTAAAGTGATTTATTGCTTTGTCATTATTTATTTAGAAGTTGTCCTTCAGATGGATTCATAAATGTTCCAGGATAATTCTGTACACTATCCCTCTCACTGCACTCAAATAATGTAATGCCATATTTTTAAAAAATCTAGTATATTTTCAATATTAGTATATAAGTTTTTATTTATTAATTACTATGGGCTAAATCTGATTTCTGTTCTAAGAAAGATAAATCCTGGAATGAGCTCCCTAGATATGGATTCCACAAACAGTATACATATTAGATAATGACTAAACATTTTTTACATTCTAAAAAAAATCACAATATATTAAGAACAGAAAAAGTTAGAAAATTCTCCATAAATAACTTGTTTAATTTTACTTACCCCTGTAATATTGCAAATCTATTTGGCCAGATACATTTTTTAGCATACAGAAAAATATATATCCAGATATAATCATTCTGTAAAACACTGAACTATGATAAACCACACCTTCTAGAGAGGTCACACATCATGCTTATGAACTGATTTTACTGAGCTAGGCAACCCATTGGGAAGGCTAACAGTCCTTCAGAACCACATCTTGCTTACCAGTAAGTAAGCAATTTCTTTCCCAAAATTAAATTTCAAGATAAGAATATATTTTTTTAAGAAAACGGAGATGAAATTGCCTTTTAAAGAAGAGAGGTAGAGAAACATTTTAGAAAAGCAGCGTGATAAAATTATGAAGTACTCTTCTCATGATTAATTTTAGTGACCTTAATAAGAAGTCTTTAATTCCACCATTAGAATGGGCTCCACTTCACACACAGGCCGGCGCTCTGGGCAACGGTGCAGGACCACATACAAGTACAGCCAAGCAAAGCTGCTCCAATTTTGACAGGCAGAGGCTGACCCACACCTGTCAGCCGCAACTCTTTAAATTCAACAAGAGTGTTCCAAAGACACTCTGAGCGATTGCTCTTGCTCCTTAACAGTACTTTATCCTTCATCCTGCCCTTTATATGGATGACTAGACACAAATGTTCTCCTGTCAAATCATTTCTAGACCTCAATGACCTCCAAATAATAGGCCTAGGACAGGTTTTGGGTTGATTACCTGTTGGTATCTTAGTAAAGACCTCATCAAGTCATGGCCCATCATTTACAATAGTTGAAAGATAACAATCACACACACACACACACACACACACACACACACACACAAATGATTCTCTTATGTAATTGCTATGTTTGAATTCAAGTGTTATGGTGTAAGAGAATAGGAGATATACCAAAATCAGATGAAAAGATGTCAAACTGAGAGTCTTAAAGGCCTTTTCCTCATTCAGATTTCAATGTAAAACTCTTGCTTCTGTATTGAAGCAGAAT